TGTCTGGGAAATAAAGGCTAAAAAACTTATTTTATCCTTGAGAGAAATATATATGGTACTACAATCAGCATTTATTTTGAAGCTCCTCCCACTCTTATTCCGGCGACATTTGGAAGGTAATTAAAGAGATCCATTTGGCAATTGAATGAAGAAATGTGCTAGAAAACCAGGTGCTCATGCTATTGTCTTCCACAGGAATACACCAAGACCAAAGCCCCATTCTATCTTTTCCATTTCCCAGAATTCAAGTAGCAGCATAGCATTTGTTAGCAATCACAAACACAGGGCAGTAAATCACTAATAAATTCCAACAGTCTAATCTGTTTCCATCATTGCAGATAGCCAGCTGTCAGTACTGAATAAAGTAGCTCTGATAGAGCTTTTGCAGTTTCTACAAACATGATGCATGTCAACAGGAAAAGCTCCATGTCCTCCTAGTTCTGGAGGCAATTAATAGCAAACAACAGTGTAGACTTTTGCTATGGCAATGGCATACCACCATCAAATACATGAACAAATATACAATCTGATTTCATTGAGTAGATAAAGCAGAAAACAATCTAGGTTATCACAGAGACTATATCTTTATCATTCAAATAATCATGAATTGTTCCCATTCCTATGCTAACTCAAGGGCAAGACCAAATGCAAAGTAAGCAGGAATCAACCTACCCAAAATGATTATGTATGTTGACACCAGTAAAAAGGGTTTATATATAAAGGACAAAAGTAAAAATCATATTTTATTGAACATTCTTTTTGGTGAAGATTTGAATGCATTGTAGTTCAAGGAAATAGAAAAAAATAAAGATGGTTGTTTCTTTCAGTTAATAAGAATCTGTTGAATACAGAGTCAGGTAGGTCAACCTCTAACTCAAAGGTATGATGCACAATCTTCACTTTATCCTCAGCCACTGGGATAGTGAACAAGAAAGGAAAAGTGAGGATGATGACCTTACTAATTCTGTGCTACTTGTTTAAATTCTTTTTTCATTTTTAAACAATTTATTTGAGAAGCAAAGAGACAGAAGGAGAGAGAAACAGAGAAAGAGAGCCCCATCTCTGCTGGTTCACTCCCCCAGATGCAAGCAATGACCAGGGCTGGGCTGAGCCAAAGCCAGGAACACAACCTAGGTCTCCTGTGTGGGTGGCAGAGACCCAACTACTTGGGCCATTACCACTGCCTTCTAGAGTTTGTATTAGCAGCAGTTAGGAAGTTAGAGTTGGGAATCAAACCCAGGCACTATAATGTGGGCATAGGTGTCTTAACTGCTAGGCTAAAGAACTATTCCCCTGTCTTTCTTAAATGTCAAATTCCCATATATCCTTGGAATTTATCTAAAAATTGAACCTGCACAAAAGTTATTACATTTATATAAAAAAGATATCTGTAGGTCAACTCTCATACATCTCCTGGATGTATTATGCTCAGAGACAAACTATGAAAATAATAATATTCAGTTAATAGGAAATTTAGCCTTTTATTTTTATTTACTGTTGAAAAGGAAGAAATAAACCCTTTGACATTTTTCAAAGCTGAGCTTACCACCATTCCACCATTAATACCCAGTGACAGCTGGTTAGCTCAGAGGAGTGGTCGTTGGTTCAAAGGCAGCATTCTGGTCACAGAGCTGGGACAGCAAAAACCCATTTGTGCCAGAAATAAGGGATCAGTGCACACAGACACCAACCCCTCCCAGAGGAAGAAAGATCTTAGTTTTGTTTTTCTGGATGATAGTCTTACTCTCTGGGGGAAGAAAAAGCTTTTTGGACTATTTTCAACTGTACCCACTGCCCCCCAAGAAAAAAAGCAGTAATATTAAATTGACTTTAATATGTTAAAATGATTTTTATAAACTACTTAAAATACATAGGCTCAATTTGATGTTGATATTCTTTTGCTCTTATCACAACGCTGACAAAACCTATTACACATTCTTCTTTCACTTTGCTAGAGCAACAACTCTACCTAAATGAGAGTAAAGTTTAACTTCTCATGCTTGGTATAGAAAGATATCCAACGGCAGTGTTTATTCTGTGAATGTAGGACTGAGCTGTAAGATAACAGGCTGTTGGAGGGCACAATAATATTGGGTCGGTGTTTTAAATTAAAATTCATTTTTAATAACATGTAAGAAAAATAATGGCTGGCGCTGCGGCTCACTAGGCTAATCCTCCGCCTTGCGGCGCCGGCACACCGGGTTCTAGTCCTGGTTGGGGCGCCGGATTCTGTCCCGGTTGCCCCTCTTCCAGGCCAGCTCTCTGCTGGGGCCAGGGAGTGCAGTGGAGGATGGCCCAAGTGCTAGGGCCCTGCACCCCATGGGAGACCAGGAGAAGCTCCTGGCTCCTGCCTTCGGATAGGCGCGGTGCCGGCCGCGGCCATTGGAGGGTGAACCAATGGCAAAAGGAAGACCTTTCTCTCTGTCTCTCTCTCTCTCACTGTCCATTCTGCCTGTCAAAAAAAAATAATAATAATTCCAATGAAGAACAGATGATAGGTCTGAATGTGAATATGATAACAGACAACTGCAAATATTTGGGAAAGTACACAGGCAAAATAATATTGGCAACAGCAATGAACATTGTATTCCATGTTAACAAATGTTAACAAAAAACCTCTTCTTCTCCCCCCAGGAGTTATTATTTAACATTTATAGAGTGTCATTGGAGTGATGGAGTATGTAGTTCTTTAGAACAATGTGTACAAGTTCTTGGTCTAAGTTCTGGTGTTGGAAAAAATTTGCATGTATGACTCATTACCTTTTCCATTCTATTTCTTTTTTATTTTTTTTAAAACAAACACAATTAATAAACTCATGCCAAAGAAAAATTTCATAAAACTAATCTCTTAGAGGTCAACTCATTTTGAAGAGCATGGCACACCAACAAGACTTAAGAGCAGACTAGATGAGATACTTGATACTTTATTACATGCAGTGGAGACATTACTGAACTACATGATTAGAATCAGATTGTAAAATGCCACTTGCAAAGTGTTAACACCCACTCCAAGTTAACATTCTAGGCCTATACATCCACCCTTGGCTTACTCCACTTCACTGCGTTATGTTGTTCCAGTCATGGCTATAATTCTCAGAAATTATCTATCTCCTAACAATCCTTTTTTTAAGGATAAACCCATCAAAAGTTTAGACAAAAAGCAGTTGAAGGGCTGACAATAGTGGTTAATGGGCTTTGTTGTACCAAAGGACAGTCATAACTCTCAAGTCAAGGGTCCAAAATCCTAAGCAAGATTTGCCAAAATTGCTTTATTTAAATACTCAATATAGAACTTAATAAACCTGCATTTTGGGTTACACACTCCACCCATCTGAAAGTCACATGATGGGGCTAATGACTCAACTTCTTGGAGCTTATTTCCTCAGCTGAAAAATGAGGGTAATGATACTTTCACAAGATTGTTGTAAAGATTAAATGAGATGGCATATAGAGAGTACTTAAATTAAATTCAGCACATAGTGGGGGCTCAGTAAATATTTCAGCTGTCACTCCATTTTTACTTCCATAGCCTCAGCCTTGATTAGGTATCTTTTACAGTTTGCCTGAACTCTCATGTTCAAGGAGACTTATTTCCTGAAAGTCTCACTGTGTTTTGTTTTTCTCCCTAAAATCAGTCTTAAACATTAAAGTTATTTCCAAAGGTGCAATTTTCATTCTATGCTTCCTCCTTCCTGCTCAAATGTTTTCATCTTACAGAATGAACAATTGCTCGATTTTTGATCTGGCCTTACTCCAAGCCCCAGATACATCTTGTGTTACTTCTGAGTTTCTAATCTAGTCAAACATATCTTCTCATTGACTCCATGGACAAGTAATCCAAGCCCCTGCATAAGTTATCATGAGAGTTGACAATCCAAACCAATGCTACATGGACCAGAGGTAGACTTTAATAGGTAAAGAATAGCAATCTAACAGAGTAATTTTATATCTGGTAAATTTAATATTGAAAATTTGGAAGCCATACTTTGGTTTCTTTAAAATTTCATTTTTCTAGTTACTTACATTTATTATACTTTCAAAATCAACTGAGAAGGAAACAAACACAATTTGAGAAGCACTGCTCTAACATACATAATGCCTGCTCCATAAATGCTAATGTGCTAGGCTCTGGGAACAATGCTAGTCTCCCTACCTAATATGGTGAGTTCTATTGAATCTGAGCACTGAATATAGTACTAAGCTATACAGAACCTCAGGAGCAGTTATCCATTTACATACTGAAGCCAAACTTTGGGCAAGAGCACAAGACCTGTGGGTCCTACATTCTCACCCACTTAGCTTTCTGTTTCTGGAAAAGAATGTCAACATCAATTTAAGCCTTATAATAAGAAGGTAAAAAATCATTTTATCTTCCTATTAATGAGCCTGAGAAGGCAGTGGAAGACCGCCCAAGAACTTGGTCTTCTGATGCCCATAGAGCAGACAAGAATGGAGTTCCTGGCTCCTAGCTTTGACCTGGCCCAGCCCTGGCCATTACAACCATTTGGGGAGTGAACCAGCAGATGGAAGATCTCTCTCTCTCTCCCTCTGTAACTCTACCTTTCAAATAAATGAAATAAATCTTTAAAAAAATAAATTATACTTTTTAAATTAAGTTTTTCTTAATGGAATGTATCCTTTTTCTTTATATGGTAAAAATTCCTCTTATCCTTCTATAACTTAACATATTAAACATCTGCCAATGTGGCTGGAAGAACTTGGGCTTTTGAGAATCAGAAAAATGTAGATTTTCCTGGGGTAAAGGTTATATCTGAGAGAGTAATGAAAAATGAAGCCAATACAGAAGGATGTGGAAATCAATCTAGAATGCAAAGATTCTTAGGAATATAATTGTTATTATACATGCTCTGAGTGTTTACAGGTGCTTCACCAGATTCTCTCACTTAATCTTCACAACATCCTTATGAAATAGGTGTACTTATGACCCTATTGCATATATCAGAAAACCGAGACAGATAAAAACACACTTGGTCACTCACATTTAGATGAATAGATTTCCTCCTTTTCTTTCTGGACTAGGACCAATGATAATTCTGTCTTCTAGGAGAAGAAAGAGAAAGTAGAGTCATAAAGTAGCATTTTGGTGCCCAAAGCAGTCTTACAAAATAGGTCTTTGTGATCTACAAATTGAATTCAATTCCTACCAAAATCCTAGGTGACTTTTTAAGCAGAAATTGATATACTCATCCTAAAATTTATATAGAAATACAAGGGACCAAAATTAGACAAAACAAACCTCAATAAGAAAGACATTGAAGGACTTCAGATTTCAAAATGCAATCCAAAGCTATAGTAAACAAGACTGTGTGTTACTGGCATAAAAACAGATCACATAATATACATCAATAGAATGCAAATGAGAATCACGAAAAAATTACCATTATGTTCAGCTGATTTTCTGTAAGAGTGCCAAGATAATTCAATTGGAAAGGAATAACATCTTGAACATATAGATACTATATGTAAAGAATGGAGTTAGACCTCCACCTTATACTATACATAAAAATTAATTCAAAATGGATCACAGATCTAAAGCTCATTTTACAATAGGTGTAACATTTCTGTGACCTTGGATTAGCAGTGGTTTCTTAGATATGACCTCCTCCCCAAACAAGTGACAAAATAGAAAACAGATAAACAGGACATCATCGACATTAAAAACTCTTGTTCTTCAGAAGACACAGAAAAGAAAATACAGATATCTGATAAAGATTTTGTGTACAAAATATGTAAAAAGTTCTTATAATGCAACAACAACAAAAAAAATTAAAAATCTGGCATAGAATGTGAACAAATATTTCTCCACAAAAGGTATACAAATGGCTAATAAGCATCTTAAAAGATGTTCAACATCATTAGCCATCAGAAAATTCAAATCAAGGCTGGCGCCATGGCTCAATAGGCTAATCCTCCGCCTAGCAGCGCCGGCACACCGGGTTCTAGTCCTGGTTGGGGCACCGGATTCTGTCCCGGTTGCCCCTCTTCCAGGCCAGCTCTCTGCTGTGGCCAGGGAGTGCAGTGGAGGATGGCCCAAGTGCTAGGGCCCTGCACCCCATGGGAGACCAGGAGAAGCTCCTGGCTCCTGCCTTCGGATAGGGGCGGTGCCGGCCACGGCCATTGGAGGGTGAACCAATGGCAAAAGGAAGACCTTTCTCTCTGTCACTCTCTCTCTCTCTCTCACTGTCCACTCTGCCTGTAAAAAAAAAAAAAAAAAAAAGAAGAAGAAGAAAATTCAATTCAAATCAAGCCCACAAGATACTACTTCATACAATTAGAATAGCTAAAATTAAAAAGGCAAGAATAGGGGGCTGGCGCTGTGGCACAGCGGGTAGGGCCACTGCCTGCAGTGCTGGCATTCCATATGGGTGACAGTTTGAGTCCTGGCTGCTCCACTTCTGACTCAGCTCTCTGCTATAGCCTGGGAACACAGTAGAAGAGGCCCAAATCCTTGCACCCGTGTGGGAAACCTGGAGAAAGCTCCTGGCTCCTGCATTGTGATCAACGCAGCTCCTGCTGTTGTGGTCATCTGGGTAGTGAACCAACAGATAGAGGATCTCTCTCTCTGCCTCTGCCTCTCTGTAATTCTGTCTTTCAAATAAATAAATAATTTTTAAAGGTAGGGATAGGTATTTGATATTGCACTTAAGTTGCTGTTTGGGATGGCTGCATCCTATACCCGGATGCCAGGTTCAAATACTAACTTCTCCACTTCAGATCCACCTTCCTATTAATGTGGGAGGCAGCAGTGATACCACAAGTACTTGGGTCCCTGCCACCCACGTGGGAGACCTAGATTGAGCTCCAGGCTACTAGTTTGTCCTGATCCATTCCTGGTTATTGCATGCATTTAGGAAATGAAACAGCCAATGGAAGATCACTCTCCATCTCTCTGCCTTTGAAATAAAAATGAAAACAAATACACTTAAAATTGAAAAGGCAGATTTTTAAAAATATATTTTTATTTTATTTATTTGAAAGAGTTACAGAGAGAGGGAGAGAGGGAGAAGGAGAGAGAGGGAGAGAGAGAGAGAAAGAGAGAGAGAGATCTTCCATCCACTGGTTCGCTCCCTAAATGCTGCAGCGGCCAGGGCTGGGCCAGGCCAAAGCCAGGAGCCAGGAGCTTCATGTGGGTCTCCCACATGGGTGCAGAGGCCAAAGCACTTAGGCCACCTTCTGCTGTTTTCCTAGGTGTGTTAGCCAGGAGCTGGATCAGAAGTGGAGCAGCTGGAACTTGAACCAGGATCCATATGGGATGCCAATGTCACAGGTATCAGCTTTACCCACTATACCACAGTGCTGGCCCCAAGGCAGATATTAACAAGTGTTGATGAGGGTATGGAAAAAGTGAAATACTCATACACAGTCAATGAAAGCACAAAGTGGTACAGTCATTGTGGAAAGTAGTTTCAGTTCCTTGAAAGGTGAAACACAGAGTTAGGGGATGACCCAGCAAATCTAATTCTAGTCCTTAAAAGAAATGGAAACATACATTCACATAAAATTTCATACACAGATGTTGATGGCAGCATTACTATTATTTATACTAGGCAAAACAAGTGTAAACAACTCAAATGTCTAACAAGTAATGAGTGGATAAGTAATATCTGGGATATCTATATCATAAAATACTATTTTTTCATAAAAGAAATGAATTTTTGATATGCACTATAACATGGATGAACCTCAAAGACATTATACTCTGTAAAACACCAGTCCAAAAAGCCCATACATTGATTCATTCTATTTGTATGAAATGTCTAGAATAGGCTATAAACATATAGACATAGAAAATAGATCAGTGATTGCCAAATACTGGGGGACTTGGGGAGACACTAGGGGTAAACACCAATGAGTATGAGTTCCTTTTCTGGAAAAATGAGTATGTTCTAAAATTGTGGTGATTATTGTACAACTCTGAATATATTAAAAATCATCTGGTGGTTTTTGGTGTATGGGTGATATTTAGTAAATGGATGAATTTTACAATATTTGAGTTATATCTTAACAAATCAATAAAAAAAAAACAGGTGATTGAATCAACTGGGGAATGAAGTCGAGGTGTGTGCAAGGCTTACAGGCATCACACAAAAGAAGGGAAATACAGCACTTCCTGCCCTTGACATTGGATTTCCTGGCTGCTCAGGGATGGAAGAGGGGGAGTGAAGGGGGAATATTTGCCAAAAATGGAGCTGGCTTTAAAATTTCACAACCTTCAAAAACTTATCTTTTAAATGCTGGTGATAAGGCTCTAGTGCCATGCCCTAGTTACAGCACAGTCAAGAAAGTACAGAAAGCACACATTGTGCTTTAGGAATGAACTTGATCCTGGGTTTCCTGAACCCTCACCATCCAGCTTGTCCATTGGTACAGTTAATGTCCCACAGATAGTCATACAGACTTAGAGAGGCAGGGCACTTCCATAGAAAGAAACGCTCAGACTTCCAGACTCCAGTGATCTGAGCACCTGCTCATTTAAAGGTGAGGTGTATTCCCAGGTGCTGAAAACTCCTAGTGTCATCTCCAGAATGGCCAGTCATGTCCCCACTCGGTCAAGTATTGAAACCTAAGTGCCATTTAAGATCATTTTAAACTAAGATTTTTATTTAAAAGATGGTTTCTTAGCATATATCCAGTAAGGTACAGCTAAAAATCAATGTTAAGATATCTCAATACAGACAATTACTTCGGATGAACAGGCATCAGAAATACAACCTAACATACAGTGGGTAACCTGCAGCCTGGACTGGGTTCTGTCTCCTTCCACTTGGAAATTCTCAGTGAAAACATTGTGAGGCTGCTGCCGCCTCTCAGCAAGAGAATACAGTAGTGAGGGGATTTTTTTCCCCCCATACAGAATCCCTGCCATCTTTTACTTCTTCAAATCAATATATCTGATAAAAGGTGTGTTCCACAAAATATCAGAAATCATTCCATAGAATCACTTAGAAGGGAACAGCAACAAATGTTATCTAGGTTCCCTACATATGGAATTTTCTGAAGTTTAATATAAGTGAATTTTATAAAAAAACAATTTGTTTTGCTCTGAAGATACTTAAGCTTAAGTTCCAGAGCAGTAGAGGCTTTCTAGGAATTTATCCTAGGGAAATAATCTCAAAAAGATGAAAAGCTGAAATGCATAGAGTTATATATTATATCATTATTTTTAAAATTATTTACTTGCAAGACAGAGAGACAGAGAGGTGCTATCCACCTCCACCGGTTTATTCCCCAAATACCCACAACAGCCCTGGTCTGAGAGGTCCAAAGCCCAGAATTCAATCCAGGTTGTCCACATGGATGACAGGAACCCAAATACCTGAGCCATCAGCTTCTGGGTCTGGATTAGCAAAAAAGTAGAAACAGGAGTTGGAGCCGGGTATCAAACCTGGGTACTCCCATGTGAGATGCAGGTGTCTTAATCCCAATATCATTTCAACAGTAGAAATTGTGAAACAGTCTGAATGCTTAAATGTAGTGAAATGGGTGATTAATATATGACAAATATACCCCATGGAATATTATGTTACTGCCAACAAAACACATGTAGAATAAGGAAAAATGGTTAGGATGCTATTTCAGAATCACCACCCTAAACTGTATACAATAATTATAACTGTGCATCAATATGTAAGACTATGAGCAACAATGGAAATAAGCAAGCAAAATTTGCCTTCACATGGGATACTCCTGGCTCCTGGCTTTGGTCTCGCCCAGTCTTGGCTGTTGTAGCCATTTGGAGAGTGAACAGTGGATGGCAGATCTCTCTCTCTCTCTCCCTCTATTGCTATAACTCTGTCTTTCAAATCAGTAAAAAATTGTAAAAAATCTTAAAAAAAAACAAAGTAGAACTTCATATATTTTCAAGTGAGGGGAAAAGTATTAAAGGAAAAATAGTGTATTAAACATTAATTATAATTTCTATATTATAGGTCCAAACTTATTGACATGAAAGCTGTTCATAATATATTTTTAAGAGAAAAATATTTAGGATATATAAGGTATGATATATTTGGGGGGCTGGCATTGTAGCATAGCAGGTT